CTTGTCGGGCCAGCATAGCCACGTTAAATGCATGCGGATCCCGAAAACCTAGACCAACATTTTCCTTGGGTAAGCACATCCTCTCCCAACTGATCTAGTGATGTTTGTGTTCATCTTCCTGGTTCGCCCACCAAAAGTTGCATACCATCTTGCTGATGCTCTTGCATAGCTCCTTAGTCAGGTCAAAACACGCCATGGCGTAGGCGGGAACAGCCTGGATTACTGCTTTGATGAGGATTTCCTTAGCAGCTTTTGACAAGAGTTTAATCTTCCAGACCTTCAAGATTTCCCAGATCTTGTCGTGGAGGTACTCAAAACATTTCTGCCGGGAGCGGCCAACATAACTGGGAAAATCCAAATACTTCCCATGCGTACTTTCAGAGTGCAGCCCTAAGGCGGTCAGTAGGATCTATTTTTTCGTAGTGGAGGTGTTCTTGCTAAACAGGACTGCAGACTTGTCGCGGTTGATCACCTGGCCCGAGCCCCGCTCGTACACTTGCAAGATTTGGTTCACCATGCCAATGCTCTCCGGGGACGCTTCCATAAGCAGCAACGAGTCGTCTGCAAAAAGCAGGTGGCTGATCGATGGGGCCTAGGGTGCGATTTGAATCCCTTTGATGTGGCCGGCAAGCTCGGCATGCTGGAGTAATGCTGACAATCCTTCTGCACATAGCAAGAACAGGTACGGTGAGATCGAGTCACCCTGACGAAGGCCACGCTCATGGATCACCTCTTCAGTATAGGAGCCATTAACCTTGAAGCGAAACTTCACCATTCTGATGCATTTACTAATCAACTTTACAAAGGGCTCTGCAAAACCTAATTGTGCCATAACCTTGTCCAGAAAGCTCCACTCGGCCCGGTCGTACGCCTTGCTCATATCCAGTTTCAAAGCCGCGTAGCGCTGTGACCCAGACTGCTTCCTCTTCATGAAATGTGTCATTTTGTAAGCCAAGATAGTGTTGTTAGAGATGAGCCTACCCGGTATGAAAGCACTTTGGTTTGGTGAGATGACCTCTCCCAGTATGCACTTCAGCCTATTTGCCAGAACTTTAGACACGAGCTTGTAAACCACATTGCAGAGGCTAATAGGGCGAAGATCCTTCAGACTTTCAGGGTTCTGCACCTTCGGGATTAGTACCACTAGGGTATCGTTCCATCCCTCCGGAATACTACCGCCTCGCAATACATGTAACACCTCCCGTGTCACCTCGTCCCCGACCAATTGCCAATAGTGTTTATAAAAGACTGCTGGCAGACCGTCCATACCCAGTGCTTTAAGGTCACCAATGTCATCCAAAGCTGCTTTAACTTCCTCTAGGGTGAACTCAGCCATCAGAAAATCATTCATTGCGGCTGTCACCTTGGGGGAGATATGGTTCAAGATTGCACTCGTGTCATTCCTGCCATAGAAGTAAAAATAGATGAAAAATAGTCAGTAACCAGCTTCTCCATACCCTCCTCACTATCCACCACCGTCCATCCTCCCTTTTCAATCTTTGGATAGTATTCTTTCGTTTCCTTTCTGAGGCATACGCATGAAATTTTTTAGTGTTTCGATCCCCATACACAAGCCAGTTAACGTGGGCACCTTGCCTCCAGACAAGATCTTCTTGCTCCTCTAGCCGCTCTAGCTTAAAACTGATGGTTTGTTCCTTCCGAACCTGGCTGTCCGAGAGGGCCTCCCTTCGCACAGCTTCTAGCTCCCCTCGGAGCTTTTTGATACGCTTCCCCAAATCCCCCAGGACATCCCTTACTCCATGTGTTGAGAGCCCTAACAACCGCTTCCGGCCTCCCTAACAATAGAATCACACTCCCCTTCAAGTAACCACCTTGGCTCAAACCGTAGAAGGCACACACCCCCTCCGACGGCCTCATCCCAGGCCTGCCATCCCGCGCAAGGACGACCGGTCTGTGGTCCGATTTCCTTGGATCACCATTGGTGACCTTGTATGCTGGGAATCGAGTAAACCACTCAGGAGTTGCTATAACTCTATCCAGCCTCTCGCGGATGTAGCCCTCAACACGGTAATTTTTATTCCTCCATGTGAAAACATCCCCCTCAAAGCCGAGGTCATGAAGATTACAAAAATCAAGGGCATCACGAAAGTTTTGCATATATCTATGGGCTCTAGCCCCCCCCCCCCTTGCTTCTCATGACTGAACAAAATTTCATTGAAATCACCTAAACAGACCAACGGAAGCTGAATTTGGTGATGAAGGGTCCGGAGCAGACGCCATGTCTCCACCTTCTTGTCAACATGTGATTATCCATAAACCCTCGTCAATCTCCACTTAAAACCATCCTTCTCCTCCACAATAGCATCGATATGCATCCTACCCATCCATCTTATTGTTACATTTATTCCGCATCGCTAGAATAACTCTAACCCTCCACTCTTGCCTTTATTGTCTTGGGCCACCATGTGTTGTAGCCCTAGCATGTCCCTAAATCTTCCCATCCTCTCCTTGTCCATCTTAGTCTCAGACAAGAAGAGAATGTCGGGGTCCTCCTTCTTCTGGAGATCCAGAAGTCCACGAACTGTCGGCCTATTCCGCAATCCCCGACAGTTCCATGCAACTATTTTCATTGCGGCTCGCAGGACTGCCCCGGCAGCCCCGCCAAATGGGTTGAGACCTCCAAAACTTGCTCGTCCTGTCCATCCTGCTTCCTCCTCTTTAGACCTTCTCCCTCCTCCACCTCTCCCTCCCTGCCCTCCGGGCTCCTCTTACTACCCACAGTATTCGCCGTCCCCGTAGCTAGCTCCCCCGGACCTAATCTCTCCCCTTCTTCTTGTAAGTATCGTTCTTTTTGGCAGGTTTGGCCACCGGAATCAACCCCACCTGATCCGCCTGATCCACCTGTGTTGGGCTCACGTGGATCTGCATGGAGCTAGTGGTCTGCATGGCCTTGGTCCTTGTGCCTGACACTGTAGCTCCCCTACCCTGCTGCCCCTCACTGTCCATCTTTTATGTTCGTTTATTCATACTGCCCTCCCCCTCCATTCCTCCTTCCCCCTGCTGCCCCTCGCTGCCCATCTTCTCTGTTCATTTATTCATACCGCCCTCCCCCTCCACTGCTCCTCCCCCCTGCTCCCCTTGTTTATTCTTCTTCGATGGGAAAGTGAGTTGTT